CTCTTATGTGGATCCTGAGAAACTTAACAGAAACCCTTGGGGGAAGGGAAGAAAAAAAAAGAGGTCAGAGTGGAAGAGAGCCAAAGCCTAAGAGACTCTTAAAAACTGAAAACAAACTGAGGGTTGATGGGGGATGGGAGGGAGGGGAGGGTGGGTGATGGGTATTGAGGAGGGCACCTTTTGGGATGAGCACTGGGTGTTGTATGGAAACCAATTTGACAATAAACTTCATATGTTGGGGAAAAAAAGTATCCCTTCCAGCCCTTAGAGTTTTTTGCTTTCAAACTAGGGGTGGGGAAAATGCTAGATTCCTGGCTGGCGAAGCTGGTATACATTTATCTATGTGCTTTATTGTTTTTTATATGTGCTTTATACATGCTGTACTTCTTGCCTGGAATGCTGTCTTGCTTTTCTCCTGTCTTTCCAAATACTTTCTAACTATAGCTGCCCACTCTCCTTCTCTTAACTCTTACAGTGCTACTAAGTTAGATGTGTCTCACTTTGGCCCCTAATTATATACTAACTTTTATTCTTTGCTACTTGCTTCTTTTGTAGTATTTTATTCTCATATATATTTTGGACTCTCCTTTTTTTCCTTACTATTTAGTTTCTCTTACCCCCTATATCACCTAACACAGTCTTGGTTGGTTACAAGGGGTCTTGGAGAAAGTCTTATTAATCATTTTCTTTCTCTTTTGGCAGTGTATGTGAGCACAGCAAAGATAATCTTATGACCCCCTCTAACATGGGGGTGATCTTTGGGCCCACTCTGATGAGAGCTCAGGAGGACACTGTTGCTGCCATGATGAACATCAAATTCCAGAACATCGTGGTGGAAATCCTAATTGAGCACTTTGTCAAGGTATGCATTCCCTGTTCTCACCATCACTTCTCCAAGCATGTGACACTTTCCCCTAGGCACCTTTTAGAGTTGTGTCTCCCTCCCTGGTTCAAATTGATAATGAAAGGAAATTCCATTTTGACACAATGGCATTTAATAACATTTCTCACACTGTGAAATTCATTCATTTAGAAAATATTGCTCAATTCTATAATTATTATTAGGCACCAGGCTAGACGATGTAGAAGAAGAAAAAACAAAATCTATTCATGCCTGTATGGAGCTAACAGTGTAATATGGTGATAGCCATATAAACAAATGAAAATGATAGATATAAAAGTGGTGCATGTACAATGAAACCATAAATAAAGCAATACTAATACTTATTTAAGCCTTATTTCATTTCAAAAAAATTTAGGGTTGTATATTTTATATGGCGTGTAAAATATGAAGTACTGTACATAATAATTAGGTCAAATGGAAAAGGAGAAATAAGGATAGACAGAAAATGTACCCAGGAATGAGGCTAGACAAGAAATATTTATTGACAAGTCCTGTACACTTGTTACAGATGGCCCATCATCAACCTCTAAGCTTTCTAGCAGCCAGTACCATCCTAGAAAAACATAATTCAATAAAAACTTTTTGCAGGGGAGGGGGCTAATAATATAACCCAGATAGCATCCACAGTTCAAATCCAAGCTCTGCCACTTACTAGCTGTATTTGGTGGGATACAGGTAGGCCTCTAAGACTCCACATACAAACACAATGGCTCCAACAAAAGAGACACTTATTATTTGATTGTGGAATAGTCCAGTGAAGTGTTTCAGGGCTGGTATGGTGATTTGACATGAGCAGGAACTCAGGTTCCTTCTTTCTTTCTTATTGTTCTGTCATCTCTAAGGTGCTGCTTCATCTGCATGGCCAAATACCTTCTGTCTTATATCATTTGAAAAGGTTGAAAGAAAGTCAAGTGAAGGATTCAAACCTTTCCATTAAGCCCATGACCTGGAAGCCCCATATACCACTTTTATTTACCATTTCAGAATTTAATTCCCTGGTCACATCTGGCTATAAGTGAATTAGAGAAGTGTAGTTTTTATTTGGGACACTCATATGCCAAGATAAGACTTTAGTTCTTGTGCTAAAAGAAAAATGAGAGAATGTATATTGGATAACAGCTGGCATTTTCTGTTATATTATCTGTGTTACATCAAACAACTTCTATGATAGTCATTTTTTCAGCTAAAATGTGAAGATGATAATAAACCTGTACTATGTGACAGACACATGTCCAAGGTCATTTAGCTAACAACAGAGCTGGGGTTTAAATCCAAGTAGCATAGAAATCCTTAATCACTTAATCCTTAATCAGTGCTGCCTCACCAATAATTTTTGAACAGTGATATTGTTGGGCATAGAAGGCACTTTAGGATTGTCAAGGATGGGTACTTTCAGAGAAGTACAGCTTATGTTAGTACTGAACATGGAAATAAAGGAAAATAGGAAAAGGAATGTTCGAGAAGATGACCCAGTGTGAACAAAGGCCCAAGGGCCTAAAACTTCAAGTAATTTGGTATTGTTGGAACATGAAATGAAAATAGCAGTGGCCAGAGATGTGATTGGAGGCAGACAGGGGCCAGGTCCTAAGAGGACTAAACTCTGCCTAGTTGAGGAGTTTGGAATGTTTGGAATTGTTCCTGCAAGCTTGGGAAAGCATTTCATAAAAGTAGAATAGTATGATGGACAGACTTACATTTCGAAGGCATTATCTTGACTTTGGTGTGAAAGAGAGATCACAGAGCGGGAGGGTAGTGTCATAGTGAGAGCAATAAACAACTGCAGTCTGAGTCAGGGTGGTGGGAAAAAGAATAGAGAGGGAAAAGTATAAGACTTAGTTATTGGAAATGGAAATTGTGGGAGAGGAAGATGTCTGAATTCTGGATTTCTGATGTGGCTGACTGGATGGATGGGACTGTCCTTCATACATATAAAAATACAGAATGTTAAAGTTTTGGGAAAGATGGGGAAAAAAACTTAAATAGGGGCAGGTTGGACTTTAGATTCCTGAAGGATATCCAGAAGGCATTATCTAGGAAGTAGTTGACTATATAAAGTAAAGAGTAACAAACTTTTCTTTGTTTATTTTTTCAAAAAACCAACTCTTGGTTTCGTTGAT